AAGGTTTCTGTGCTGAAGCAAGAAGGCAGAAGATCATAGTGCTATTGCTTACATTGGAATATTCTGATGTTCGTAGTTGATGTGCAGGGCCACATCACATGCTCCAATAAAATTAATTAATTTTGCTAATGATAAAATCAATATTCCCCCTCCCCCAACAGGAAGAAGTCTTTCTAAGGTTATGATGCTAATGCTGAATGACAAGTGTGACTCACCGGTACACCAGGCATCCCTCGGGGGCCATCCTTCCCAGTGTCTCCAGGAGGACCTCTTGGCCCTGGAGGTCCAGGCGGCCCAGGGGGTCCAGCTTGCCCTTGGTCTCCCTGAAACCAGCCAGTAAAATCAGTGTGAGTGAGCAGCATTCAGATTGATCTTCGCATATGGCCTTTAATTGTACAAAGCCTAAGAAAATGAGGCATTCAAGGAATGTTCACAATTGGCCAAAATAACTTAAAACGTTTGTTAAAGAAAGCTCTTGATCCAGCTATGTGTAGAGCTACCTACCATGCTTAGGTGCACATCAAGGTGGTTGGTGCTGTTACCTACATGGAGGCAGAAGGCATTGGATTCAGGGCCATCGGCTCTCTCCGAAGAGCACCTATGGGCACTGTCAACCTTGACCATGCCAGCCATCGCTGTCAGGACTGTGCTTGAGGTTCCTGATCCAGTTATGGATCCAATCTACATGTGCATGCCCAGAAAGCTGATGGAACCTAGAACTACATTCACACGTCATGATTTTTGTTTGTTTGTTTGCACATGCAGTTTATAATCCAACAGGCAGTGTATGTGACTTCTGTGCTGAAGCAAGCTTGCACGATTTCATATTGTGCAGCTTGACGTCTGCGTTAGAGACATATACCAAATTTTTTGCACAAACTTGTAAAATTCCACAGATGTATTTCTGACGTTAAAATGCTTATTTGATAGTCATGTTCATATTAAAGGTTGAGTGTGGTAGGTGGTTGTAAAACTTTCATGGCAGCTTACAAGACTGGTTCCTGAGAGTTAGCAGGTGAGAAGTTGAAGGGGGCACTGAAATATAACTGCCTTGCTGAAAAGTCTTACAGTACTTTTCATGCTGTAAATCAAACAGCAATAATATTTAATTTCTTTATAGCAGCCATTTTATAACGACAACTGCGTAACAACTTTTACAACTTCAGCATATCCATTTTGCAATAATTTAATCTAGCTGGGTAATGAAACATTAAATCACATTGACCCCCCTTCAAAAATACGAAGTTTTTCCTAACTTCCAGTAAAAAGCTAGTGTAAACCAGTTGATATAATCAATCATTCAGAGTTTAGCCAGGTTCCATTGCAGTTTCTCCTTGCTTTTTCCAAAAAATAAACAAAATCCATTTCATTAACAACTATGTGGATTCAGCAATATTTACAACTGAGTAATCAGCTTTGCAAGCAAGAGCATGGCAAAAGGTGCAGAGAGAGATTAAGCACTACCTTAATGAGGCGGCGTTTAATGAGCTGCTGATCAGCAGAGAGAAACCCATGATTGATTTTAGGAAACACCATCTGATCAGGCAGGTGAGGTCAAAGGTTGAGGTTCAGAGGTGAAAGAGTTGAAGAATAGACATCAGAAGGCCCCAAGAAAGAAATAGAGATATATATACATTAGACTTGCAATTGCCAATATAATATCAAACTGGTGCTTGTGTCTGTCAAAAGAATCTGTGCCTTATTTTAAAAGATAGGATGTAAAATTTTCATTATATGGTCCCCTTATGAAATGAAAGCAACACATGTCAAACTGACTTTCAGATACCTCTTGGTGGCTGTGGTTTTTAAATTTCTTCACTATCCTACAATGGATACCCTTTGACCTTTATTCTGTTTCATGAGCATAGATTCCAGAGACAAAGCACCAGTTCAGCTTTTAGTCAGACTTTCTAGATAGCATATTGTGTCATGAAACGGGGTGTCATTAAAATGGCATCCCAAGTCTGCCACTCTGTAGATGGCTTAAATGACTTCTGTTTAATTCCCAAATGATTCAGAGCAGATAAACAAGTGTTACAAGTTAAACTGCTGACGTGAAATGATCTGAATGTGCATGTTCTCATTAAGGATTTGCATTGTGGTGAGCTTTTCAGAAAGGAGAAACAAAATGTACATTAAGAGAACATGTGACTAGAGGGTGGTGGAAGCTGTAGAACACTGAGAGATCTCCATCTCTTTCCACTAATCCCCACTGATATAAGTGTAATACGACAGCACTGAAGAACTGAGCAAGGGAGCATTGTGATAGGTTGGATGGACTGAGTAGCTTCCAATGGCAAGCCTGTTCTTCATGACACTCTTATGCTGATACAGAAAGACTGACTAGGTTGAACATGTCAGTCACAAACCTTGACGGTGAGGATCTGATTACTGTGAAGAGCAGCAACTGTGGGGAAGCCTGGCAGACCCTAGGGACACACATGGTACCGAAATAACACGACACAGAACGTCACACAGACCGACAGATTAATAACAGACAACACAGGTTCCTTCTATCACCTTTTTTTGTTGCTGAGGGCGTCAAGTCAGAGATTTAGCTGACTGCTTAGTACAACTATGGCAAACTCCGGGAAAGTATAAGGCCACCCAGAAATGGAAAATATTTCTCAGGCAACAACTGTGAACATTTGTTAGCATTTAGTGCACTAACTGGCAAGGGGGTAAACCACTTTCCTTCTAGTATATGGTAAGATCTGTCCACAGAGCTATGCAGATCATAGCCCTCTACTTCTAGAAGACTCACAACAGATCTTTCTGTGTCATTATTATAGTTATGTAATATATATTTTAAGTATACAACACAAAGAACATAAAAGTGACGGTACGTTTGCACAGGAATAGACTGGACAATTGAATATTGCTAGACCAGGGGTATTAACAGAAAAGCTTCAGTTAAACATTCAGCATATACAGAGTTATATTGCTAGGTCTAGAGATTTCTCACATTCCCCAGTGGCTGACTCTTATATTTTAATGCTCTTACATAGTCAGATAAGGTCATCAGATGTGAGAGGAGAATTTTGCACCCAACTTTGTACACTTTTCCAGTATTGTAGTGGAGGAATTAATGATGTGGGTAGACCAAATAGTTTAGTCTACTCTAATAGTTTTTAGAGTAGAGTATCATACACAAAACCAGCAAGATTACTTTTACCATGCCAGAGTATGATCAGTGAGAGCACCACCACCTGTCCTCTTGTTAATAGCAAATCTGAAGATTTTTTTAAACAATATTGTCAGGAAAAAGTACTTCTATCTTGAGGTGCAATTAATTAAAATGTGCCTTGATTCTCCTTTCATATCCATTTGCCCTAATAACTGTAACTGAATTAACTTTGGTTGAACATAGGGTTGCAAACCACCAGGTGGGGCCTTGGGATCTCCTGAAATTATGTCTGATCTCTACACTACAAGATCAGTTCCCCTGGAGAAAATGACTACTTTGGACTCTCTGGCATTATATCTCCAACTGTGGTCCTTCCTTTCCCCAAACCCCACCCTTCCTGGGCTCCACCCCCCAATCTCCAGGGATTTCCCAACCTGGAGTTGGCAACCCTAGTTGAATGGCTTCTCCACATTCTTCTGTTTAACAAATGGGTATTTGTCCAATCAAAGGGACTGCTATTTGTTTAGTTATTTCTCCCTAAGAAAAAACAATTGTACTGAATCTATAACTTTTGAATGGACTCAAGAGAGACAGTGTTCTAAAGGGATTAGTTCAATGTTAAATATAATTCTACATTTAAGGTAAATGTTCATCTCCCAGTGACAGAACTCGAATGCATGTGCAAGAGTGTTTGAGTGAGTGTATGGGTGTGCATGTGCAATCCCAAGCAGGACTACTCAGAATCCACCTCAAGACTTTTTAATGGGGCTTCCTCACATGATAGTGTTCTTAGGATGGCACTGTGTATGTATCCCCTTCCCTTCTTCAGGTTCAGATACACAAAAATGCAGTGTAATTAAAAAAAAACTGTACACATGGAATTAGCAATGTTTTATTGAAAATTATATGTTCTAGAATAAATATTTAGTTTCATTTCTTATGGTAATGTGCCAAAGTTTTTACATCTGTGATTCATTAGTCCTTCTCTGTGCATTGTTTAGCTCTTTAGCAAAATATAATTTTTTCCATTTTGGTTTATATACTCCTTTTACTTTCTCATCCATTGCAAGTGGAAGTAAAAACGACCCCAAAACAGTGTATAGAGTGCAATTTACAAAAAGTTCGAAGTGGGAGCAGGCAATTTGCTTTTGAAAGGTTGAAGAATGCATGGAGTATAAAACTGCAGAAGACTAAAAACAAGGTTTTCACCTTGTTCGATCCAGACTTAAGCTACAATTCCTATTCAGAAGAATCAATTTAAAGAAGCTTCCATATGTTATAGGACTGACAAATTTTAATACACTTTATTTTTAAAAATTCAATGAGTGGAAAGCATTTTAATTTTTTACTCTAAAAATGTATGGTTTCTCCACTGCTGCTAGTGTTAACAATATAGCACAATAGCAACTGGGCTTCAATGTGGCAGATTCACCTGCAGTTTCACTGCCCCAGTCCTCCATCAGTTGCCAACCCTCCCAAAAACTTTAAGTGAAGATGGTTTGGGAAAGATCAGAGAAAAGGCAGGGAAACCCCAGGAGGCGCACAAATATATCATGATAACGGGGGGGGACTACCACCTCCCAACAACACTGAACAGAGGGCAGTGGCTGAACAGCTCCAGGGTATCCTGGATGAGACATCAGCATTAGATCCAGTCCAGTCCAACGTCCGCCCTGGCCACAGGATGGAAAAAGTGTTGGTTGCCTTGGCAGACAATCTCCATAGACAGCTGGATCGAGGCGGGTCAGTCCTTCTACTCTGATTAGACCTTACGGCAGCATTCAATACAGTCGATCATGACCTCCTGATCCACCGCCTTGCCAACATAGGAGTTCGCGGGGTAGCCATTCAAGGGTTTACCTCATTCATTCATGGTCAGGGACAGAGGGTGGTGCTCGGGGAGGAAGTCTCCTCTAGATACCCATTGGAATGCGGGGTCCCTCAGGGGGCACTTCTTTCCCTGATGTTTAACATCTATAAATGCCCCCTTGCCCAGCTGGCTCAGAGTTTTGGGCTTGGGTGTCACCAATATGCTGATTACACCCAGTTGTATTTGCTTATTGACAGCCACCCAGATGTTGCCCCCCAAAATCTGGCCATGGGTTTGGAGGCCGTGGTAGGATGGTTTAAAAAGAACAGGCTGAAACTGAATCTGACAAAGACGGCTGGGGGGAGGGGCTTCAGGGTTTGGGTTCAGCTTACCGGCTCTTGACGGGGGGCCCATTAACACCAGTGTAGTCTGTCAGAAGCCTGGGTGTGATCCTAGATACCTCCCTTAATATGGAGGCCCAGGTCACACACACAGCCAGGCTGGCATTTTTTCATCTACACCAAGCCCGGCAGCTGGCCCCTTTCTTGTCGCGCTCTGACCTAGCCACAGTAATCCATGTGACAGTCACCTCCAGGCTAGACTACTGTAACTCGCTCTACATTGGCCTGCCCTTGAGACTGACCCGGAAGCTCCAACTGATCCAGAACGCAGCAGCGTGTGTCCTAATAGGAACACCACAGTCTGTGCACATTCGACCTGTGCTGTGCCAGCTGTACTGGCTTCCAGTGGAGCACTGAGTCAAGTTCAAGGCTTTGGCTCTGACTTTCAAGGCCTTATGCAGTCTGGGACCAACGTATCTGCAGGACCACCTCCTCCATTACACCCCAGGAGAGCATTACACTCCTCACAGAACAACTTACTGTTGGTCCCTGGCCCCAGAGAGATCTGGCTGTCCTTGACCAGGGTCAGGGCTTTTTCGGTCTTGGCCCCGACCTGGTGGAATTTTCTGCCAAATAACATCAGGGCCCTGTGGGATCTTTTGCAATTTCGCAGGGCCTGTAAGGCAGAGATGTTCTGATAGGCATTTAGTTGAGGACAGCAATGGTGAAACATCATAGCTGGCCCCCTACTTGGCCCCCTACTTCTTATAGAACTTACTCCCCCCGAATGTGTGAAGACTAGACAGGGGAGGGAGCTACAAAATTTATGCCTCTTGTTTCATTTATTGTACATTTGTTGGGCTTGGTTTTATCCTATGCTTTTATGGTTTTAGAACTCTGTACATCACCTAGAGCCCCTCAGCTGTGGGGATAGGTGATCAATAAATTGATTGAAATAAAATTAAAAAACAAATAAATATTACACATGGACAAAATCAGAAATTGTCATAGTTGAGAAAGCATATCATACTTAAACCATAATGATAAGATAACTACCACTGACTAGGGTTGCCAAATGGGGCCGGGGAATCCCCCGCTTTGTAGGCCCGATTTCCGATGCAACGGAATCGGGCCCCGGGGGGAAACCCGCACCCGAAGCTGCATCACCAGAGGTGACGCACGATGTAGGACACATTGGGGGCGTGACCCAGATCGTCGGGGGGGGAACCATATGGTTTCCCCCCCAACCATCTTGGCC